CGAGCGTCCGACTTATCGAGTTTGCCTATGTAGTTTGATGGTAGTTTCGGATTAATTAAAAAATCATACCGAAAAAAATGGTAGATTGTGTAAAACATATTGTTGAGGTTGTGAAAAATCAAGTACAGCGGGATTAAACAAGGCTCAGTGCGATGAAAACGGCAAAGGCTTTCAATATTGGATCTTAACTCTGTATTGGAGATTTTCTTTAAAAATTAAATGGTTTACAAAAATATCGGCATTTTGTTTTTGAAGCAACTAATCTAGAATTGTCAAAGCTCAGATGGTTGCTAATGGTGCTTTGACTGAATTTAATTTATTAAAAACCAGAAAAGCAATGTGTTTCTGAAATTATCAAAGAAATTAAATCCTTTTTCATCCTAGTACTAACCCCTCCTCCTTTGGGTTATAAAAGACAAGAATATCTTTATCATAATATTCTCCCATTCGTTAGAGATGAATTCAAAGATATTACTTGTCCAAAACAAACCTATGCTGGCAACCTCTCCATAACTTCAATGCTCATTAATTTCCTTGCTGTCATTAAGTTCTTGTCAGGATCAAGGCCTAAGCTAAGTACGACGTACGTGTTCCTCCGTGATTTCCGCTAGTCCTAATGTCCTTAAGAGTAATGACATTACTCCGGATCTTGGTGTCTATTTTAGATTCTATTAGTGGTACGAAAATCTCCAATTCTTAACAGTCTTGACAACCACAAAATCGCCCCATTTGGCCAAAATTCTTGACACGATAATTAGTTATAAATACGAGTCGTAGTCGAGAGCTAAAAATCGTCTTCAGAGATCAGAATTTTCAGATCAGATCATTCAGCAAGACGTTGCTATTAGGATAGTTCTCTTTTATTCTAATAAAAATCCGATTTAAAAATAAACATTATTATTTCGTTATTCCCTGATAAAAGATACTTAGTATCGTTGGTGAAGTGTAAAACGCTTTTCCTGCCGACGGTAAATAGAATTTATTCTTGCCGATTAATTCTATTTAGTACTTTTGCATTCAGGGTTATATTGTTTAATTATTGTTAACAGTTTAGATATCGATAGTATAGATCGTGAGTATAAATTCTAGTTAAAGGTCGCTAATTGTATCGATATTTAGTTTGAAGTAGGAAAAGCAAAAGCTTCCGTTGGAAAAGAACTAAATCCCAAAACGGCTAGTACACCGCTGCTCTCCCAGGTGTAAGCTAGTCCGACATTCTCCATCTAATTTTTCAACGAATCTCGCTAACTTTTCCTGTTTTTAATTCTTAAAACTTAAATATTAAAATAATTATATACTTAATATACCCCTATAAAGGAAATACCAAATGAAAAGGATACAAGTATATTAACAACCTCAATAAAAAAAGAGAACAAGTTGAAGAACTCAAAAGTTAAAAATCTGACATGTTACTGGTCAGTCTATTGATGAAAAGGGTGAGGTTAGTATGTATGCTCCTAGGGGAACATGATGATATAAAAAATTAAACAGAAAATGAATGGATGAAGGCAAATTAAGAATGGCAATAGATCCTAATGAAACTCGAGAGTGAACTAAAAATTGTAAAAGAATTTGATTTGACAACATTGCTGTTGAGGAAATGTTAGAAGGTTTATTGATTGTTCAAATGACTTAGCTTCAAATTATGCAGGAAGTTGGTCAAAAATCTCCGATTTAAATACTCAAAAGTTTGAACAAAAAGGAAAAGTATGAGGATCAAATAGCAAAATTGGAACTAAAAAATAAGGAGTTAGAAGCAAAGGTAGAAAGTTAGATGATGAGGTATGAATGGAGCGAGAAGAAGCAGAGAAAGCATTAGATAATGAAGAAAACGTCAAATGTTTGAAACTGTTTTAAAGCATGATGCTGCCATGGGAAAACTTCTGGATACTTGGAGCCTTTATATTTATGATTAGTGAGATAACCAAAATTTGGGTTAAGACTCATGAAGTGCAATCCTTTCGTCCCATCTATAAATAACTTGCCAGGAATATTTCATTAACATTCTCAAGTTCGCCTGATCAATTCTGTTGACAAACGCCGAAAAAAAAGTAAAGCCTTTCTTATAGACATCTCCACATTACAATGGCAAAGTACTATTGAAATTTCATACTCGACTGGTTAATTTTCCCTTTGGGAAACGGAGATTCTGGATGGGCTGTTCGATTGCAAGTAATGAGACAATAGATGATAACGGAGCACGCAATATACCAGTCAAATATTATAACATAATAAGATTCACAATATATTCATATACAATATTTTCTTATACGCCACATTATGTCATTGCTTATCGCTGTGTCCTAATAACTTGATCTTCTTCAATAGTTTCAATATGATCGGACGCCATCACTTGGTAAGATTCTGCGGGACGTATATTCAGGGCAAAGTGATTAATTGACGAAGAGTTGTTATGTAAAGATACGTTAACATATTTACGTACGAATAACGTTGTCTTCCTTGACTTTTACAATAAGACCTTTGTAAAGGCTTAATTTGTGGACTTCGCTGCCTGTATAATAGAAAATAAAACAAGTTGTTTGTACTGTGTCCGTGCATACACAACACTCACACGTCGTGTGTCAAGAAAGATATGCCACTGTTTCTTTCTATACTCTACCATTGCTTTCCAAATGTTCAATATGTTTGTTAATAACCTCGTCGCTGGTATCTTTTTTGTAGACGATATTGTAGGTCTTTCCTGATTACGCAGTATTGGGATATCGATTAATGTGTCATGTCAAAATCAGGAACTACGACTAAAACATGCCTACCAGTCATTTTTAGTACGAGTTTTAACTGTAGAGTGTGGGTGAGGAAATTTCAAGTGTATCTGTGCTGTCGTTTTTATAAAACAATTACCAAAGGATTTGGGGATGAAGGGGTGGGAGATAGGAAAGGAATTATAGATGAGTCGATCCCAAATAAGGAATTGCACACAATTGATTTATAGTACTTTGCTGCAAGTATTATTCCTCATTGAATGTCCGAAAAACAAACGTTGTACAGAATGTCACCCCACCAGCGAAGTTGAGAAACACGGTTTAGAAGGTAGTGTGGGAAGGAAGTTGTTGTTTTATGCAATACGTATCATATGAATTTTTAGGGAATCCCTTAAGAAGAGGTCCTAAGCGAGTAATAGTATTATAAGCGAGCAAAGGTCACCGATGAGGAAGGGGAAACAATACCATCTTCAAACTGGGCTTGAATCTCCCTTGCCAGATATTTTTACTAACTGCTCCTGTCATTTCAGGCGATGTCCTGTCAACCAAGAGGACCAATAAGGCTGGTGTAAATGACATGTTCGTCTAAACATTATAAATTTGTGAATGCTAAAAAATAACTGGAATTGGTTATTACAGACATTATTATAATGATATGAGTACTTATTTAATTATACTGACACATTTCTGCTTAATTTTCAAACGTTTCTGTCTGAGACGTTACAAATATTTAGATGATTCAAGTACTTCTTTAATTACAAGACATAGTGTTCAAACATGTCTGCCCGAGATGTTCCAGATGTAGTAATCGTTTACATTTTCCGTATAATTTTCAAACGCGTCTGTCCGAGATGTTACAAATATATGACAAGAGCATTTGTTCAATATAAATAACTGCTTCTTTATGTTCTTTAAACATGACCATCTGAAGTGTTGCAAATATGTGGTTTCGTGTCCTTTATTAGACGTAAAACTAAGGTGGACCTCTAAAGCTGCTTTTGCAAATATGTGGATGATACGAATACTTATTTATTAGGAATAACACATTTCTGTACAAATATTGAATACGACTGTCTCAAATGTCATCAATGTGTAGCTGATGCAAATAGTCGTTTGACAAGAATGACACTTTATCTCATTTTTAAATGTGCCGAACCTCTTTACAAGCAAATTGATAAAAGTCCATGAATGGGTAGTACGAAAGCGTACTAACGACGGCCGCCCGAAATGGCACCGACAAATTCTGGGCGCGGAGATGCGTCCTCTATTGATGAGTCGTGCTATATGCTGCATTTGGCAGCGCCTTCTCTCGTTACGCTTGGCATTGTAATTTTGTTGGCAAAACAGGAGTTGCCTATGATAAATGTCGGAAACTCTTCCTTTAGGAAAAGGCTTTCTTAATTGGCGACATGTGGCGATTAGCTTCACATATCGGAGCTTCATTTGTTAGCTGAATAGTACGATGGAATCGAGAATGTTATGGGTTGAGTTGAGCTTTAAAGCAATGGGACGATCGATGTAGTCGCCTAACCATTCTCTTTCATCACACCCCGATTCTAATGGGTTTCTGGCTGCTTCGAATGCTTCAAGGCTATGGAAACAATTCCAAGATGGTAATAAGTGGACTTATGTATCACTGTAAAGACTGATGCCAGAATTGGGGCGAGGAGTTTGACGTGTTGGTAGAAGGCAGACGTAAAGCCATCGGTCCCGGTTAAGCATTTCATTTTGTTATATTTATGGCAATACTTCTTGTATGCGCACCTACAATATGCCCTAATGTGGCTTACCATTTTTGCATTTAGCCCGAAGACGTGTTTACTTTATAAAGAATATAACGTTAGGATAAATTTTCGATCCGAGATGTTAGAAGAGTAGTACTTCGAAACGCGACACTAATATACCGCATTCTTTGGAAATAAGCAACACTTTTTTGTTATAGTATTGCTTATTTTCGGGTAGTTTAATAAAACGAAAGAAATTACCACTGACTTCGTCATTGGCGAGGATATCATTGACATCATTGATGAGACTCATATCACGGATTAATCATTTCCGACAATTTTCTTTATTGTAATAATAAAATAATCTAATCAATTGAATACATTTATAAAGGTAAATTATTTATTCTGAAGTGTTGCTTATTTTCAGGTGTTGCTTATTTTCAGGTGTTGCTTATTTTCCAAAGAATATGCCATCAAAATCACGTTTGTGGCTTGACAAAAAATGCAATTGATCTGCAATCTAATCCAGCATAACCTCTTACTTATATCAACCATGGCTGAATGGGATGAGATTGGACGTATACATAACTCTAAAGCTATTCTCTCTCACTCTATAACGGCTTTAGCATTTGATCCGTATCAGGAGCTATTATGGACAGGAGACGATAAGGTTAGTACGTCTGTATATGACTTTCTGACTTTGATAATTTTACGTCAATTCATTCATTTTTTGAACATGTACTCCAAAGGGTCGAGTAGCTAGTTTTCATGGTACTGGCATGCATCCGTATACAAGCTTTAGATCACATGATTCGCAAGTAAGGCAAACACTTGTATGCGATCGAGGAGTTATATCGTTGAGTTCTGGACGAGTGAAGATGAATAATAGAAGAGGATTGGGGGAATGGACTATCAGGTTGGGAATAAGTACGCGTATTGAAATTGACGCTTAACGAGTGGTATTCGATGTCTATTGGATATGATTGCAACTCTTTGCTTTCAACCAGCAATGAAGATACGACGGATTTACATTGTATGACTTATACAGTAATGCCAAATTCTGAGATTCTTGTAGCTGGAAGGCAGCCTCAAATGCTAGTAATTAATGTTGCCAGAGGGACAATTGTCAAAAAGGTATAATAGTAATGAGACTGTTAATTGAAATGATCTAATACTACGATGAGAGCTGCCGTCATAATTATCACACTGACACTACGTTCCTGCTCAGGTGGACGCAGAAAGTGAAATAGTGGTAATGAGAAAGTCGAAACTTGTCTGTTGTGGTGCAACCACAGGGCAAGTAACTTTGCGAGATCCAAAGACATTTAAGATCGAACATCGAGTGCAAGCTCATACTGGTACGATATCGGATATCGATACCGTTGGTAATTTACTGCTGACGTGTGGATTCTCTGCGAGGTATATTACATTACTATGAATCATTTTTTTTTCCATCTGAAAGTCTGAAATTGTTAATTGTATACATGTGTGCATTTGCCAGAAACGGGACATTTATAATAGATCCACTCGTTAAAGTATACGATATCCGAACTATGAGACCACTTGCACCTATTTCGTTTCCGTCCGGACCTTGTTTTTTGAGGATGCATCCCAAATTGTCTACAACTGTGTTTATAGTATCGCATTCGGGACAATTTCACGTTCTTGATGTGGTAAATACGTCTGACATTCGTTTCTATCAGGTACGCTGTAAGCTGATTATATACAAAATGTAATTTTACGCATAATATCTCTCTCTGCGCGCTGGTGTTTCTTCCTAATTTCTATGAAAGCCAGTTTACCAATGATATTGTGCTGTTTACAGGCAAACACAACGAGCTACATTAATGCTATTGACATATCATCAACTGGCGAGATGTTTGCCTTTGGTGATGCTGACAACTTTATACATTTGTGGGGTGACAGTAAGGAGCCGAAGATGAACGAGTTCTCTAATCCAATTGAACTAATGTCACCACAAGTTCTACCGCCTTCAGTGCACGTTGGGGAGAATGAGTAAGGCGTCTCCTGATTTGTAATATTTATAACGCCAAAATAAGACAATATACTTATTCGTTTTTATATACAGTTCATTAGCTCTAGTGGGAATGCCATATTACAAAGAACCATTGCTATCTGTTTGGCCTTCAAATAAGATATTCGAAGTCGGCATACCACCACCAAAGATAGACCAAGACATATTATCAAATATGAAGATGATAGATTTCGTGGGCTTTGCACCAAATGACACCAATAGACGCCGTAATGAAGTAGTAAAATGGTCTAGAAAAGGTCACAAGCCTGGACAACCCAAATTTCGCTCCGAAAAAGAACGCGAGATGCATATGGGAAGGGGTGTTGGTGCGCAAGAACAAAATAAGCTCTTCGATGAAGAAGAGAGAAACATTACAGGGACCAAAATGCCAAAGTATTATCAACGAGTGGAGATTCAATATAGCCGATTTGGTGTTGATGATTTTGATTTCGAGTGAGTTATCCTTTTGTTGATACTCGTGTGCATACTCATGTTTGTATTTTGCTTTAACGCAATCATCAGATGAGATCAATTTGACTATTCTGTTTACAGATATTACAACGAAACGCAATACGGTGGATTGGAAACTCATATTGCAAACTCTTACTGCAATTCATTGTTACAAGTACTTTTCTTCACTCCTATGCTTCGAGAGATTACCAAAGTTCATATAGGTTCAGTCTGTCCAAAGGAAAATTGCCTATGCTGTGAATTGGGATTCTTGTTCCGTATGCTAGAGGACGCAAAAGGCAGCAATTGCCAAGCCACAAATTTCCTTAAAGCATTTAGCAAGATACCACAAGGTTGGCAATAAACCAATTCAATGAGTATATGAAATAAGCGTGTAATGAGCGTATAGATACATATAGTGATTGTTTAATACATTCGTTATATGCAGCTTCTGCTTTAAGTCTTTTTGAACCTGAGGAGCCAGATGAAACCATCTCTTATGCTCAACTGATTCAAAATTTCAATCGATTTATTCTCGAGCAACTTCATCAAGAATGCAATACCGACAACAACCAACGGCTACTCAAGCACCTTCCATTGGATGAAAAAAATTATTCTGTTATACAGCAAGTATTTGGAATGCAGATGGCGCTGGTTAGTCGATGTCAATGTCAAAGGGAGACTGAAAGAATGACCATACCGTTTGTTGTTGATTTACAACTGCAAAACAAAGTAAGGATTTATATTGTTCGCGTTGGATTATCGCTTTAATCTAATACTTGTATCGTATAAAATCGCGCTGTAGAATATTAAAGGGAATACAAAGGGAAAAGAACCGGCCGTAAGAAGGTTCGAGGATGTTCTAAATGGAAGTATATGTCGAGAGACCCAAACTAAGGCATGGTGTAATCAATGTCAACAATACCAACCAAGTCTTGTGAAGAAGATACCAAAGAGTTTGCCCCCAGTACTTGTAATCAACTGTGGATTAGGTACCGCGGTACCAAGTGAGCTCTGGCGTTCTCTAGTGAACCAAAAATCATGGTTACCAACGAGGTATATAAAATTGAACTGCTATTGGTTTATTCGTTCCTGCCAATAAAATTTACCCACATTCTAATTCTATAAAAAGAATTACTATGGATCTTGAGGGTGATGACTTGAAGATTGAAAAAACACTTGAGGGTAATGACCTGGAAACTAGCACAAATGGTAGCCCATGCCATGCTAAATATGAGTTGACGGTAAGAATAAAGACTTAGTTATGTATGACTTGTCGCAAGCATAGGTAATGTTGAAACAACAGAAAACTTCATCCCGACTTTACAGGCAATAATTGCGCAGATTGAACCAGAGAAAGAAACGCCCCATATAATTACCTTTATACGAAGTAGGTTCCCTATCATTGTATTGAGCAATTGAATTTTAATATTAATATTTGGTAACTTTCTCTAGTACCTAAGAAAGAATTAGAACCAATGAGTAAAAGTGAATGGTATCTATTTAATGATTTTCTTGTCAAGAATGTTTGTGAACAAGAAATCCTCAATTTTCAAGGATTATGGAAGGTATACAGGTTCACCAAATATCTCAGTGTTTATTGACATGGAACGGTATTCTAACATTTTTCTACATAGGTCCCAGTGCTGCTGTATTTTACTAGAATTGATATAGACGCTCTTGTCGATATATCAGCACTTCCAAATGAAGTAGATCATTCAATACTTTTCGAAGATACTTCAATAGCCAAGTAAGATTTTTCTATCCTTGACAAGGTCTATTCTATTGGGAATGCTGTTTAATATGAAACATTCTTTTTTAAAAGAAAACCGATTGTGCCGGTCCCAAAACTGTTCCAACTTTTGTCGCCAGAAGAAACGCCACAACCAGGAACTCTAGTAGCAATAGATGCTGAATTTATTGCACTGAGTCAGGTACGGTGATTATTCACTATTATGAAAGGACACTAACATCGGGCTTGGGAGTTTACTTACCAACACTGCAGATTTCGTATTGAAATATGCAGTCTATTAACAAGGCCGTGTGATCTCAATGGCATATTTATAGGAAGAAACCGAGATTAGAAGTGATGGCACAAAGTCGGTTATTCGTCCCAGCAGACTTAGTTTAGCCCGTGTCAGTGTATTGCGTGGCGAGGGAGAGAAAGAAGGCATTCCATTTATTGATGATTATATTGCTACATCGGACCCTGTTGTAGACTACTTGACTGAATACTCGGGAATTAAAGGTACAATATTGTTTAATATAAATAGTACCAGTGTTATAATTCCCTATTTCTGCATAATCTGACTTGAATTGATAAAAGCTGGCGACTTGGATCCTGCCACCTCCAGACATACTCTAGTACCGCTCAAAGTGGCTTATAAGAAATTACGATTATTGCTCGATCTGGGATGCGTTTTTGTCGGTCACGGACTTAAAAAAGACTTTAGAATAATAAGTACGTCAATACGATATTGAACGCGTGAAACCGTTTATTTTGTTCAATGCATTAAAGCAAAAAAGTTTTTAGATATCTTGGTTCCACCAGAACAGGTTATTGATACGGTTGAAATTTTCCATATTAAAAATAGACAGAGGTAATATCTAATCAAAATGAGGTGCTTTCAAAACCGCTAGTATCATAATAACACTTTATGTTCCTTTGATCTTAACAGAAAGATTTCTCTTCGTTTCTTGGCTTGGTGTCTCCTCAATCAAGATATTCAGACAGAATCGCATGACAGCGTGGAGGATGCTAGAGCGGTAAAACTTTACAAATAGCTATTCCATTCAGCATCTTATAAACTCTCTCTCACTAAAATCGTAACTCTAAAGGCTTTGCTCTTGTACAAGAAGTATATACAATTCAAAGCCGAAGGCATTTTTGAAGAAATATTAGAGGAAATTTACAAAGAAGGGAAGAAACATAATTGGAAACCTACGCCTGGGATATTTCCTAAACCGCCAAACGGACCCTCGTCAACCACATTCTCGCTTTCTTCAATGACAACACATTCCTTGTCGACGGGAACCTATTTAAATCATGATGCTCCACCGACGTCAATGACTAACAAATCGGAAGACGGCGAAAGGATGGAACTGTCTGATGTAGTAACCTCTCAAAGGACGGCGATGCCGCCTCCCTGGAGATCAGAAACTGCTGGAGAGCCTACAATAAGCACGCCGCCTGCATCAAATTCTTCGCATCGTTCCGAGTTGTCGTTACCGGATGGAGAGCGGCCAAAATATGACTCTTCAGCTGGAACTTCGCCGTTATTACTACCAACATTCGACTAGTTGAGAGGTTGTAATGTCACAGAATAAATTTGTTGCTGTATGGTCGAAGTAATCTGTAAAGAGAAGAGACAGGAAATCGGAAGTATAAACGCAATCAAGGCAATTATTCACATAGTCGATATAGCATGCTAATGACATAGTATAGAATATGACCGAGTTCGTGCAAAAAAAATTAAAATTTTTTCTATTTATTAAACAGTAATATACACATTTAAGTGAAATTGCCATCTTTAGTAAATATCGTTGAGTCTTAGTTATCTTGGCTCTCTTTTTCAGTTACCAAGATCCATTCATCAGATTTATTTATAAATTTACTCTTATGTGATGATTCTGTCATTGATAAACTTGCTGATCCCAGAATAGCAGCAATAGTTATTGCTTGTGCGTACATACGAGCCTGCACTAATTTCTGGGAGAGGGTTACGTATCTACGAGAATGAAGAGATTGTGAGAGAGGCGTTGAATCATATCAATTTCATTAGATACTTACCTATTACGCCATATTAATCCCATTGAGCCAGCCATACCAAGGGCCCATATTCCAAAAAGAACACCCCATTTATTGTCAATCATGAAACCTCTTACATTCTCAAGCTTACTCTCGTGAGAAACTTTTTCGAGGACTTTAGGCGATCCATACAATTCTCTGTCGAATTCGAGTGATGCCTTTTCTGCTACCACCATACAAGTGCCGGATGCCACTGTATCATTGCAAATAGTAATATTCTAAGTAATTTGAATCGTATCGACAAGTGTCAGTTGCGATTGAATCCGAACCTGACGAGATAAGAAATGCCTTGAGCGGAAGTCTGAGATTCCTATATGACGGAATGAACCGTGATCCTAAAAGAGAAAGGCCCATACCAGCTGCAAGACCTATCACACCACCTCGCAGTCCATGTTTGAGTACATAGCGATAATGCTCGTCCTTCTCTTTGTCAGTAAGTACTTTCATGGCGGGAAGTTAAGTAAGGAAACCTCATCATTTTCGGAGATTTTTAAAAAAAATTTGACGTTCGGGAAATTAGCTAAAATAAGTCGATGCACACATCAGGTCATAAATTGGCGAATGAGCATTTATTATTGTTGTACACATACTAACCAAACACGGGCAAAGATAAGCGTTTACTTTGATGTACCACATCAATCCTCTTTGAAATAAAAGAGTCCCGCCTGCATTGTAATTAAAATTGCAAAGTTAGCTTGACTTTCACAAAGGAATTACTGGCATGTTACGGTGGTTAAATGTTTTGCATACCAGCGCAAGTACGACCTTGTTGATGGAAACGAGTCAATTACGGACAAATATCAGATTTGTCATATGACAGGCAGACCAGTTATGTAAAGCATGGATCTATCTATGATTTTTGTCACTCGCATACTTTTGGCATCGATACGGTACCGCTGAAATTTATATCAAAGTTAGCGCATATGTACAATACGTTAGTTATTGTGGCAGATTAAAACGAAATTTGGGGTCTTCTTGGATTCTCTTTTAATGCCTCTGAAACTCTTCTAACCCAAATTCCAAAAAAAAATCCTAGCACTAAAAAATTGCCCCCCAAAAATTTTTAAATTTTCATATTAAAATAGAGAAAATTTTATTTTAATCCGATTTCGGTTTGATCTGTCACAGTTATTATTATTATTATTATTATTATGTCTACAAACTTGCTGAACCCAACTAAATCTCGGTTGCACGGCCTAAAGTTTAAATTTACATCACGAGTTAAAAGAGCCATCACGTGTCAATGGTTTTTTTTTCTCACGAAATGCAGTATGCGTCATAGTAAATTTCGTGACGATGCCAGATAATACCGCACGGAAAGAGAAAGAGTATCAAGATTGTATGCTATGTAAAGTAATTGGAGCTAGTGTATTATCCGGAGTTGGCATGTACAGTTTGTATCTAGCAAAGAGCATGAGAAACGTCCCGAGAACTGGCGTACGTAGAACTGTGTTTGGCATCATGGGTATTGGTGAGTTTCTGCGAGATGATTAATAATAAACCCACCGATTTCCCCTCTGATTGCAAGTGCTGATACTGTTATATTTACAGGTTTTCTATCCGTGGGCACGTATCGGGCTGTAATGTAAATTGCCTATGGTGAATTTGAAGAATGTGAAGCGATATCAGAATAACATGTAAGAACTTTACCGTAGCTGGAGTTTCGCGTTCTTCATTATGGATTTTACCTTAAGTAGAATTACATTTATTGTAATAGTGTCCTCGAGACGTATTTTAATTAGTGTAAGTAGCTTTATTCATAAACAACGGGAAGATGTTTAATAAAGGAGCAACATCACCAACAGTGTAATTGCACAGAACTTCTTATTTGTACGTTCTTCCCAAGCTACGATACAAGGTATTTGTATGCGTCTTGGCTTTTTATGTTTGCTGTACTTACTCCACCTCGTTTCCTCTTATAGATTCTTTTGATAAAGCGCTAATGCATACTGTCAAGAATTTTGATTTGTAGCCTTTAAAAAACGCACTAGATATATACTTGTACGTTCGGCCCATAAAGTCTGTTAATCTTTTTCTATAATCTAAACAAACGGTCGCGAAAATTATTTCTGATCAGGTCTCAATTTGCTTGATACTATTTTCTCGTGGATAAGAAAGACGTTCTTTTTTGCTTGTATAAACCAATCAGGGCAATCCACGATAGTTGGATTGCAACATTAAATATGCCTTTAATATTAGCAAGAGCATTCGGGGATAATGGTTTATTTTCTAGATAGTGTATCATGATACTGTTCAACTCATATTATCTAACGTGAAGCATTCAGCGATATATATTTGGTCCGGTTTAGTAGAAAGACCCGTCATAATTTCCTGCGCTGCGTAACCACCAATTGCCAGGCACAAAAAACCACGATCACCGTGATACCTTGTTCGAGAATTCTTCTTCAACATGCGTGTCTCATTCGTGGTAATTGCAGCCTTAATCTTGGGTATTCAACAGACAGTAGCCTATACTATTGTTGTAAAAGCTGGTGTAAAAGAGTGTTTCTATGAGGATTTACATAAGGATGATAGAATGACGATAACTTTCCAAGTGGGAGAAGGTGGGCATCTGGATATTGACTTTACGGTGAGTGAACTAGATTTCTGCCACATTATAAGCGCAATATTTGGAAATATAGAATTAAATGATATTTATGGATCAAAAGCGTTCACTTTATATAGAGAGCGTTTAAATAGTAAATGCACGTACATAATGCTCATAACGAACACACATAATGCATACACGTCACCGTGCAAGTATTCGACATAATCTCTAATCATTTTATCTATCGCGTTATTAATAGATGACTGATCCAAATGACAGACCAATAATAGGAGAAGAAAGACAATCGACTGGGACATTCTCAGTGGGGGCTCAAGATGATGGCAGATATACTTATTGCTTCAGCAATGAGATGTCAAGCGTCACGGATAAATCAGTTAGCTTCAACGTTCATGGAATTGTATATATACCAGAAGATAGTTGTAAGTATAGCTGTGTTGTGATTATGGTTGTTGACCCATTCTATACATATATGTAATTGCGAATTCTACAAATCCGTTTTTTGAATAGCTCACACGGATCCAGTTGAAAAAGAAATTAGAGAGTTAGCCGACAATCTTGCTGCAATTAAAGACGAACAGGCTTATTTGGTTATAAGAGAAAGAACACACCGCAACAGTATGTATCAACCAATTATCCAATTCTATCGACTTTCTCGTGATATGTACTGAATATCAATCACATTTTCTTTCAGCTGCTGAGAGCACTAATGATAGAGTCAAATGGTGGTCCCTATTCCAATTCGGCGTGCTGATAGCAGTTTGCCTCTGGCAAGTGTATTATCTTAAGAGTTTCTTTGAAGTCAAGCGGGTTGTCTAGAGCAAATCCACGCAGCAAAGCGAGACAGCTTGAATAAAATAAATACGAAGATTGTTAACTTTTGCAAATTGACTTACCATGGATGTGCCACACCAGTGGTTCCATTGGTAGCAAGAAAGGTTTAATGTAAGAGTGACTCGTACATCAATTTTACTGGTAGTTTTGTTAATAACTTTTATGTTTACGATAAAAGCTGGATATTTATTGAGACTGGTAACTTACAAATCGTTTATTTAGTATTTTGCAGATTTTAGATTGTCTTGTGTAGTGGAGTATATGAAAAACGGTTTAGACATAATTAATAATGGCATTAGACATTTTCACGTTACTGGGCTGTTGAAGTCACAAGTGTAAATATTGTTTCGACGAGATCAAGATGATGTTCTAATACGCACAATTACTGGAAGTATGCATTGCCCTTCACTTACAGAACAGAATATAAATGAATATGTCAAATATACTAATGAAATTACAACAATAGGATCATACACCTACAAAATACAGATAGTAGTATATCTACCTAATAACTAACGACAAACCTAATCGACTATCGGATTCATATAGGCCTCCCGATCTTGAAACTTGTAATTATGAACCATAATTATCAATCGCGTCGGGCCCACCAATTGCGTATCCTGTCCTGACAACTGCACGATATTGTCTAGTTATAATATTCTCATTATTAACTGATACGTCTTAAAATATGTAATCGAGAAACGCGTCTTTTGACAGACAGCGCAAATTTTAATCCAACATAAAGTTCACAATAGACATAATAATAAAACTTGATGTAAATTGGTATGACATCCGTTCTCTGTGGAATAGCACCACCCCAGTTTCTTTTTGAATTACACTCCATCTTCTTCCAATAAGATGTTTTCGGTTGCAATTAGGTTCAGTGACCAAAGGTCTGATTTGTCAAAATAACCTTAATAACAATTATATTGCTGAAGAGATTGATGTTTAATAATACTCTTTCAAACGTACATTTTCAACTTAGTTGACGCATTAAAGTTTGTATAAGTATATTAGGGACGCATGCGAACGATCTATAAATACTATTATGACAAAGTAGAAACCAGAATACTCATAGGTGATTCGCGTAAGTTTGGGCCGACTCTTACAAATAGAACAAAGGGACTAAGTTTGCAGTTGTAGAGATATGCTTTCTTATTACAGCCTTGACCTTCTCCATCCTCTTTTCATAATTCACACCATTTGGATTAGTTCTTCTCATATCTTCTGTTTTCTCGCCACCTTCTTTCTCATCAATTTGCATAGGATCGATCTTTGCTTCACGCCTACGAGAAACATTATCATCGAGGAAATGCAAAATGGCTTCTAATAATAGATACCCTATATCGATAGAAGATATGTGGGGAAATAATTCGCCCACTTGATTGAGACCCGCTGGAACGCAGCATGCCTTAACGTAATTGTCATATGTGAGTCGTCTGCGTATGAAAATAAAATGATAGTTACTACCAAAATATACCTTTCTCATTGCATTCATAATTCGGACGGCAGAATCTAATTCATTGGGATGTTTGTGGGGATCTGGATCTTTCACTGAATACCAAAATACGATGCTTGTTGCCAGTAAGCTATGGACTATGTGGTTACACGTCCTGAACGATTCTTGATCTAATACGCGTTCAGAAGATATTAGTAAAAAAAAAAAATGCTATGGCGTATGATGATTGCCAATAAGACATTATTTACCAGATGAAATAAAATCGAGCAACAGCCAGAGAATGGGCGTATCATTGAAACTTCGTTTGATAAGCAAGTCACTAAAAAGTTGAGAAGAATGAACACGTTAAATCAACAACATTCATCATAGGTACCGACGGCAAAACTCAAATGCACTACTGCTCACCGCTCAGAATTTGTATTTTTTGGCAAGATGGCACGATAATGGTCTAACCCGTTTCTCTTTTTGACATTTGTACTGAACTTCTGGTTCAACAACGCCACGAAAATAGACATCTTTGTTCGATCAAGATTCTCATCATCTGTATAAATTGTCATAACGAAAAATGTTAACTTTAACACCACAATATCACAGAGCCAACCGTTATGTGCATACCTGAAAAACAACATCGTTGTATCAATTCGCATGTGTTCAGCACGTTCATGGCATAACACTCGTCAAATACTGAACTAAATTTTATCATGAATTAGAGAAGTGTTTGCCAATAGGTATCAATAACGTTATAATTACAAACCATTTAGGTTGATCACCCGTAAACATAATAATTTTCGCTCTCCATTTCGTTTCTTTATAGCTATTCCCAGACGTGTCACTCATTTCTTCTGAAGCATAAATACTTTGTAGATCATTCCCTCTCCTAATGTCGGAACCTTCTTTTGCAATATTAATGTCATCAAACATTATACTCTCTCTTTGTTGGTTTAGATCCATGAGTGACCCACTGTTATTTGTTATTTGATGTTGACTCTGTTCAAGGGCTCCAGCAAAGATGTGTTCTAAAATGATCGTCATAACATACTTGAACATCTCAGGAAAACTTCCAAATATGAACACTATAATAACGTATGTTAGCACAAGTTGATTTTGCACAAACTGTCTTGCGGTGATGAAACCGTTCGCTTACTGATTCTTTTTAGGCATTCAATAACTTCGTCCCATTGCACGGTTTCTTCTTTCTTCCTGGACATGTACAATTGCATTGACATTATCTTAAACCATGTTGCAATGACTTCATCACAACATCGAATAATTTCCAGCGATGAGAGTGTTCTAACATGTGAAGCAACCACTTCTAGTAACTGACAGCCATCGTGAATGACTTGAATATTCTTCTCATCATATCCACGTTCCAAGAGATGTCGTAGGTGCCAGAGCAGTACATAATGATATTTGGCTAGTATACGGCCAATACAAGTATCGGTTTCATTTTTGGGAGGCGTTGACTCTAACTTTGAGTCTATCATATCAAGATAAAGTAAAGTACGAGCGAAATTTTCAAAATCGCCTTTTGTTAGAACGCGACCTATTGCTTGTCTTTAAAGGTTCTGATTAATAAATATTCATTAATTAAACCAGATATAAATTAATTGCAGAGACTTCTGGACTAGCAATAATGAGTTGTGTGTATCATAATGAACGAATAAAAAAACTCACCTGAGTGAACCATCCCATTGTTTTGGTAATAATGAAATGACCTTAAAGAATTTCTCGACTCTCTCTATCGCCGCGTCATCATCGAGATTATTTCCAGAAAAATCCATATTCATAATTAATAAGGCCAACACATCAACAGCATTCTCTTCTGAACATAGAGCAATAGGCTGGAGTATCAGAAACCACAAGTCAAAGCACAAAGTCTGAAACTCTTTCGGAAGAGTCGGGATTAATTTGTCAACAACAAACTGTGATTGATTCTTGGGTACAATCTTTTCATCTTCTGGTTCAGACTGAGACGCCGATGACCATATTTCACTCACAACCTTTGGATTTTTACTGTCGGAAACTTCAGGTGTCCGTGTTTTACCCGAATTAAAGCGCGATATTTGAAAATTCGGGGCTTTATGTTGCAGCTACATGGTGAGTCGAGAGTTAGTATAAGAGAAATCAATATCCAGCATTTTATAATCAAGACATGCAATTACCTGGCTTTTTATTTCATTTAAAAATTGCAAGTACTATACAGTCCATCGTAATTAGAAGTCGAATAGTCGCACCTTAGCACTTGCATAAATCATAATTATACTACAATACCTGACCAAGCGGTGCTTTACCCGTGGCTCGATCTCCCATGGAAGCAAGCTTTCCTAACTCATGCAGGAAATCGCAATAAGCGTAATGTATGAAAGCGACTGGATCACGATTCTCTGTTGAGGCACGTTCAAAATTGGCTCCTTGGTTCGAGACTGTAAGCTGTTGCAGCGCTGGTTCCAGAGTTTTGTAAGCCTCCGAAAGATTATTAATCGTTACGCCTATGTCTGAGCGTAGTGTCCGTGCGGGAACGAGAGTTTTCCTTGCTCTCGGCATGGTAAATAGGCTGAAGTAAAATTAAAAAGCATATAATAATATGGTACGTTGACTTTGTGGGTCAGATTTTGTTAATCAAAAACAGCGATTGTACCGGGAATTTTTATCCCCTATTACTATTGGAATTCCCCAATGACGTTGAACGTAGCAAATTCCCGTAATCTAAATGTAACTGTTGACACTTAATGATATTCCTATACCGTAGATGTCCTATTTTTAGTATTATTATCTTAGAACGAGTAAAGCATTTCGAATATATAAATTCCATAATAGGAGTCATTGAGTAGACGTGCTTCACCATATCTTTCTTTGACTTACCCTAATTACACTTTACACTTTCTTTTAAACCAACCAGAATTGTCGCGCTGCATAATACGGATCATCAACCTTGAGATTCAGCGTCCGCTCGTTAAATAGTTAGCAACGCGTTCGCTTAACCGGGTTTCTGGGACTAACTACCTAAAATCAATCAACAATAATTTCCCATTCGTGAGCGATGGAATTTTTAGACAAGACTTACTCTCAACATGCGCGCTCACTAGTAATGCCACTATCCACATCAATAAGACCCATTATAAGCGGTTAGACATAAAATAAATTGCTTGTAAGGAATAATCCAAACTCTTTCTTTTCTTCGAATAAGATTAGCAACTAAGTTCATTTTGTGAGGAGAATAGTTTAACCCGTTAGCAATTAGATTTTCAAGAGCAAACTGGTTAAAATAATAAGACTGAAATTAAGATAAATCAATCGAAGTATTTGATACGGAGTGTTATTAAACTACATGACTCATCGTCTCTGTTGCAGGTTTAAACCACTACTAGAACATTATCGCGGTTGAGTGGTTCTGCGGCCTTAGTTAATAGGAATTGATTCAAGTGGATAATGAGAATGACACTTTATTGGACGATGCTCTCTATTTTGTCGTTTCACTAGAGTTGGAATTTCCCCAAATGTGGAACTATTTTTTTGAAATTATAAACGGTTGAGATATTCTTATCTGGATGTGGAAACTCGTACATCATTTTAATTTTAACAGTTGGGATTTACCTTCTGAATGTGGAAAGTAAATCGCAACCCCGTTCACTACGTTTAGTTGCACCAATTCCGAAAGTCATCTTATTGTTATCTTTTTTACTGGTTTGTCGAATAGAAAATTCATTTAACGATCAGCAGATACGCTAACTATTTAAGGCATGAAAAGTAGAATGTAATTACACCGATTGTGTTACACAGAAATATCATGAGATGTCTATAAATAGACCAGCTCTGGGATTGTTTATCAGTTAACAACTCTCTCAAGGCCACACTGCGGAAAGAGGTATATATCCAAGTAGCATACATTATTGTAATTGACTCTAAACTCAATGCGAGTATGTTTTCTCCCAGTTTCACTACAAACGTTAATGCCATTTACCGATACCAATGATGTCTGGACGGACTAAAAAGAGGGTACTATACGCAGGAAAAGGCTTAGGCAAGGGAAAGGCTGTATTGAAGCGACATAGGGTTAGTAATCAATCAATTCAATTTCTGGCTTTTGGTGAAGTCAAGTTCGTCAATAATCATTAAATGACTCTGTTACCCTATAGAAACTACTACGTGAAAATATAAAGGGGATAACCAGACCTGCTATTAGGCGGTTGGCCCGAAGAGGAGGTGTTAAGCGTATCTCAGCCGGGATCTATGAAGAAGCCAGGCATGCTTTGAGACATTTCCTTACAGAGACACTTAGGGACGTAGTTACATATTGTGAATACGAGAAGAAAAAGACGGTGACGGTGATGGAGGTGTTATTAGCGTTGAAGAGAAGAGGGAAGACGATTTACGGCTTTGATGGTGATATTATTCACAAGAGGTTGGATGGAAGACGACTGGGTGGCTGAGACTGGCAATATGACATCCAACTGCCAACACATTGATTTCATGCAGGACAACTAAACAGCATTTTTTTATACGTCATTTGCGAATTTATGTCCATAAAACTTTTAATCGTATTATCCGTCTATCATCGATCTGAATCCAATAAGTGATGACAGTAGTTTCAGCTGATTACTGTAAAGAAATAGTCAAGGTAGAACCTTTAAATTGATTAGTAACAAAGAACTTTATTAATATAAACAGCCTTTTAAATCAAACCGAATGTACAGTGGATCTGGGATTATCGCTTGACTTCTTCGTTGTCAGGATCAGTCCACGTTTTAGCACGTCTATGAAATAACATAAAGTCGTAAAACATTCTGAAACAGTATGCGAACCATTATCTCGTATTAATTACCTTATGATCTCTAAAACTTTGAACGTTTTTCTCTTACTTATTGGTCTGCAAGCCTCGATTCTTACAACATCGCCCACAGAGCATACTTGTTCAGCATCATGCGCAAGGATATTCTTATGTTTTGTTACTAACTACAAGAATGGCGTAAGTGCTGTTAATACTAAATTAGTACCAAGAGGAAAAACTATTTTGTAATAATCAGTATGACATTGGCGAGGAGTGGCTATTAACAATGTACATAGTAATGTAGAATATAACCATCATATCGTTAGTAAACTCACTTTGTGTACAATAGGATGTACTCTCTGGCTAGCAACTCGCACTTTCGCTGTCAGTTGCATGGCTGTTCCTACAACCACTCCCACAAATTGCTGTCTCATTATGCCATCCAGATGAAAAGGGTCTCCCAATACTGTCACAAAATTTAACCTTCTTATTGTCACGTGGAATTTACGATCTAATTTTGGAATAATTAGCGCTAATCGTGTAACTTTACCGCGTGCCACGCGATACAACGAAATGATTTCACATTCTACTTTCAAAGAAAGCCGATAAACTTTAGAAGGAACTGAAAGTGGACAACTACGGTGGGCATCTACCCTTTAAGGAGGAGGAGAACTGCGTAATGTCAATCAGCAATATCAGCAAGAATCAAGGGAGGTGGGTATAATGTCATCTTCTGGATAGTGTTTGATAAAGCCTTCCTGGATACTCTTAGCTAACCACTCTCTATATGTATCGTTAGCCGATTGACTTTGGGACTTTTTGGTTAACGTTAGTGAAAGGGTGCCGTTATGGCCTGCTATAATAATAAGCAGTATGGGAGACTTCCAGAAGGAGTGAAATCCATACAACTTGGAGATGATCCCAACGTAAATCTGCTTGCTGTGGTCAGCTTGTCCGTTGTGATCCGCTTGCATCAACTAAGCATCCCGATATCCCACAGAAGATGACTACGTAGAGTTGGCAACTGCAATTTTGACCTTCCAAGTCTTTCTTTTGTTCATAAACTTACCCCTTTTTGCCTAGAACCATTGCTTGTGCTGTAACAACATCGAGGCAGAGGGTATCAACAATGAATAGCAACGTCTAGAGTTAGATCTAGAGTTAGAGAGGACAAGACAAACAACAAGTTTCTCTGTGCCGAATAACTTTGAGCTTTTATAACTGGTATACATACAGCGATGATGCCACTACAGCATACTTGTGGCTTCTGACTTTAGTCCCGCAGCACGCCAGGAGGCAAATGCATGCCCTTATCCGATGAAACTATCGCATAAAAAAACGATAGTTGAAGACATAAAAAGGCTAATTTAGCTTTGAAAGAAGAAACCGGTGCCGTCGAAGTCCGACAAGAAACACGGTATCTGACGGAGGGATTGGAATTGCAAGCTGGAGAAGAAATATAGTTGTTTATGAAACAGCTAACACAAAAGATATTAGAAAGTGATGAAGTTAAAATGTTCTGGAGAGTAATATCTGCCAAAAAGAAGTACATGGAACAGTTAAGATCATGTAGTATTTCTTGACAGAAACCCTCGATAATAATTATACACATAACCGCAAGAAATACCGTCTGTATAATTGTCCAGTGGGTTAATTAGCAAACGAGATTTGCGCATGTCGAGCAATTTACAATTATACCGCTGACATAATTTCTTAATCGAAGGCGTGTCAATTGGTATTTAAATTAATTGTTTAAGACAATACTTGATAAATTGTAAAAACAATACAAAAGTTTTTGTATTTTCAATGCTATATTTTTTATAGTTCTGTGGAATATCACGTATTGTCAAAATAAATAATATTGCTTCAATCTTCCCGTTTACATATCCAACCAGTAGAATTATAGTATGTTATTCATCAATTGACATATGTACTGAGACGTTGACTGGAATTGTCAGTCCAATCGGTATAATCAAATTCAAATTGTACTTGTATCAATTTGTGCACACACATTGACAACGGTTATCATTATCATTAATAAATGTGTGAATTTCATGAGCATTTCGTTATCGAGTTGTTAGTGATTGAGGACGAAAATTGATTTCGCGTCTTTGAAGAATCAAGCCAGCCGTTTATCATATTCAAATCATATTTAATATTCTGTGTCAATTTTTTGCACACACACTGACAACAGTCGTCATTAACAAGTACGTGAATTTCATGAGCATTGGATTCTTGGTTGTTGAGTTGTTTGTGATGAAATTTGATTTCGCGTCTCTTGCAATAAAGGTAAAACGCCTCGAATGGTTAAATTTGACTCGCGTGAATTCATCGCTCATGTATGTTTCCGACATGAAGATTCCTTTCCCCTAATTCACAAAAATAGAAGTCTTGGATGGCATAGATTATTTGATACTTTTTCACCTTTGAAGAATCAAAGCCAATCGGTATAGTCAAATTCAAATCGTACTTAATATTCAGTGTCAATTTTTTGCACACACATTAGCGACAGTTGTCATTAACAAGTATGTGAGTTTCATAAGCATTGGATTCCTGGTTGTTGAGTTGTTTGTTTGTGATTAACGACTAAAATTGATTTCGCGTCTTCGAAGAATCAAGCCATGTTTTTATTTTATATAGTAATAGTAAAAGAGATAGCCCTATTACTATATTAAATGTGTTGTGATTTATAATGATAATGTCAGTAATTAAAAATGCAACTCATAAATTTGTGCACAAGTCACAGCCAAAATGTCATAGTCAAATTAGTTTACTTTCAGCCACATCAGCCATTTTTAGCTCATATAGTCAAACATTATAATCCTTTACAATCCGCAGTACAAATAAACAATGTTTATTAATAAGCTCCCTGTTGTTATTCGGGGAGATTAAGGTACTTTGGTTAAACCATTTCAGTCGCGTCACCGCAATTACCCGGGTATTTAAGAGTGCTTTGTTGGGTCACAAGGATCAAGTCCCACAAAAAAGTAGAAAGTTTGGCCAATTTGGGCAGAAAAAACCTAATTTGAATTTTAGTCAACCTGGCATAAGTCTATTGGATCATCATTATTGCGCTTTCGGCCAGATGATTTGGTAGCACTGCAGATCTGTCAAAAAACGATACATTATAACCTATCAAAAAAGGAAGCATTTTGCGGGACAATACATTCGGTGCATCGCAATCTTGTCCATTTAGAGTTAGTAGTAATTTATCATTCACGTGATAAATATCAACATCCAATCAGAGTCTTCCAACACATGAAAAAAGCTTACATTACAACGCAATGCCTAAACAATCATTTCAACTCTATTCCAAAAATGCGGTTAACATTCTCTTCCATATGGTGGAGTTTAAGCCTGCTAATATTATTTACGGAGCTTGTCTTATGCGGAGAAGACTATTATGCGATTTTGGGTGTCAGAAAGGACTCAACAAGTAGAGAGATTAAGAAAAAATATAAACAATTATCAAAGAAATATCACCCTGACAAGAACCCTGGCGATAAAGAAGCTGAGGAGAAGTTTGTACAATTGGCTCAAGGTAAACAGGGTAGCAGGAGTGATAGATTGTTGACGAACTACCCGTCCTGACGTTAATACGATAGATTTTCTTAATCCGATGATCTGATCTGGCGTTCACAACCTTTTGATCATCCTCGCAATATATCAAATAGCTTATGAAGTATTATCAGATGATGAGAAACGTGCAACGTATGATCGATATGGTGAAGAAGGACTCAAGGGGAACGCCCAAGAGTTTCATAATCCATTTGACATATTTGAAAGATTTTTTGGTGGAGGTCGTCGCTCTCGAACTGATCCTGAAGAAACAAAAGGACCTAATATAAACATGGACTTGGAAGTCGAATTAAAAGAATTGTATCTCGGGACAGAGATTAATGTTGATATATCGAAGCAGACTATATGCTCACATTGCGGTGGAAATGGTGCCAAATCGGCTAATGACATTGTGGTCTGTTCATCTTGCAACGGACGTGGGGTCAAGCTAGTTACTCAAAAAATGGGTGGAGGTGGTATTCTTCAAATGCAGACAACGTGAGAGAATTTGCCTTTCTTTCTATATACTCTTTTTTTTATTATTAAATATTATAGCTAAATTGAATATTTTAATAATCAGATGTGAAGTGTGTGAAGGAAGAGGGAAAATCATAAAAACAAAATGTCCTCTTTGTAAAGGAAAAAAAGTTCAACGGCAGAACGAACAACTCACAGTCACTGTCGAGAGGGGAATGCCAGATGGGGAGGAAATCGTATGTGACTGTCTTATTAATACAGGGTGATTTATAAATACACCTAATCGTGGTGGTTCATTATGACTAACTATTGAACGTTTTGTCGATTTTTAGGTATTTGATAAGGAAGCGGATGAAGCGCCAGAGACTGTCCCAGGAGACGTAATATTTACATTAAAGATGGTGCCCAATCCTGTATTTACTCGTAAAGGAGATGATTTGTATACTGAGAAAACGATTACATTATTAGAGGTAATATTGCCCGTTTTGCTTAAAAACCTGTTGCCTCCTTTCCTTTATATCTTGGATACTAATAGTATGACGAAACTTTACCATACCTACTTGTGTATGCAATTTGCAGTCATTGATTGGATTTGAATCAGATATCACACATCTTGATGGGAGGAAAGTGCCTGTACGGCGGGATGCGGTCACTCCCTGTGATTTCGTGGAGAAATTAAAAGGAGAAGGGATGCCCAAATATAAGGGTAATAATAAGAAGGGTGACCTTTATATCCGATTTTCGGTGGATTTTCCAAAAGCCGTGAGTGCTCCTGTCAAAGAGGGTATGTTTATTTATTATTTATTATATATATAGTTAATTACACCAAACCGACGATCCAGTTTACTAAAATATGTGTACAATTTATAATTTTTAGAACTAAAAAAATATTTTAAACCAAGCAAAAATACGAAAGGAAGTGAACATGTGGAATTATAAACAAAAAATGTATCGTGCTAATAGATGTGTCATATCATATGTTTTAAACTAAGGGATAGCAATTAACTTAGTAAACACACTGATTAGATCACAAACGTGAGTATCGCTCACTTCATCGTTTAATATTATATGTATGTATATGTATGTATTGTTGTTAAGATTTATTTAAGGAACGTGTTTAATTTAAATAAAAGAAATTCACGTCTTCCTCCGCATAGATATCCTGTCACCCGTGTCATTATCTCATCTGCGTCATCCATGTCATCCATGTCATCCATGCCATGCGTGTCATCGGTTCCAGCCGTTTGTGTCGTTATCTCTATTGTCTGCAAAAGCTAGATCAGGGACATTCTCCTTCATCCATCTAACAGCCTTACTATTGCGTCTCTTTAGTGCATACGCGTATAGATCAAGACCTTCGGATGTGTGTGCCTGTGGGTTGGCCTTGCGATCCATTAGCACTTGTAATATATCATGGGGCCAATTCCTATGAACGGCAATAAACAAGCAGTTGGGATAATACATCCCTGAGTCATGTCTTGTCGATAAGTTAGGATTGGCCTTGTTCTCCAGTAATATTCTAACTATCTCCAGGTTTTCGACATGGTATTGTCGATACTCAAAGTTCAAAATACGGTGAAGGGGAGTATAACCCATATGATCAGGAATGTTAGGGTCTGCCCCAAGCCGAAGCAATGAATCCACAGCTTGAGGAATCTCCTTCTCTACAAACCACGAGAGTGCAGTACGTCCATGCTTATTCTGGGCATTTACGTCAATGCCCTCCGCTATTAGCCATTCCACGGCCAATTTAAGGTAGTCTTGAGTGTTTGAATCTCTGGCACTAGCTGAATTCCTTACTAGACTGCTATTCTCTGCTAGCCAATGTAAGGCCGTATTGTTCTTTTCGTCCTGTATTTCCACAAGCACATTGTAGCGCTTGAGGACCTTCAGAACATCGGCAATTTTTTTTGCCGGGCAGAATCTGGCCGTGAGTATAAGCAGCGGACAGAACTGTCCATTAAACCTATAGCTTCCGTTGACATCTTCGTTCTGATCAAGGTGGTAAAGTAAACCTGATGCATCCCCAAATCCAGCATGAAGACCAGCACGACAACGAGCCACTGCTGTATTGTCACGGAACTGGCGTGAATATATTTCGAGCGTTTTATCACAATTACGTTTTGCCGGAGGCATGATTTCCTAATTATCATATACACACAAGTTAATGGACTTTGTTGTTGTTGTTGTTTTTTTCCTCAATCTTATTTAAATTCACACAATAAATACTCACTGCGGACGAAGAATCTGATTGCGATGGTGTGTATTCAGTATCGCAAGAATCGCTCGAAAGTTGTTCATCGTTTTTGAGATGGCAGTGACTTGGTTTCTTCACAAGTACAGGGATTTCATCATTAAGCAGGTCATCATCTGTGAGCGAGCAACAAGTAATATGTGGATATTAATCTTCCTGTTGTCAACTAGTTATCAAAAAAAAATAAATTTTTTTTGTATGTGAAACACCTTGTTCTTACCAAGTTTCAGAATAGCGTATTTATTAACGCTATCGATGACAGGTTCAAGTTCAATCAATTTTTGTAGCACCTCTGCTGCAGATGGACGTTTTGTTGGATTAATCTGCCAACATTCCTGAAAGAGATGCGCATATGCCATTGGGGTTCCTTCGATCGGTAATTCGCGTTCACCCTTAATGAGCTTATTCATCAGCTCATTAGGCGACTTGGTATTTAGATTGGGCTGGCACCCACTTGAAATTTCCCACATCAAAACACCCAGGCTATATATGTCGGACGCCTTGGTCCGGCTAATTGAATTGTTTTCCAACCAAGCCGGGTCGGCGTAGGCAATCATTCCTCCTTGTATTGAACTTGAGGTATCCTCAAGTGATTTGGCGAGACCATAGTCGGCGACAATAATCTTATTGTCATGGATTAAAACGTTCTTCGAATGCTAATGACGAGAACGATAAAATGATGTCAGTATATGCTAACTAATCGTCACAAATATAAATATTGAAATACATACCAAATCTCTGTGCAATATTTCTGCATTATGAATAGAGACCAAGGCAATGGTAATTTCCTTGGCTAATCTTATTTTATCTCGCCAAGTCAATGTACCGAAATTCTGAGATAGATACTCTCTAAGCGTTCCGCCCTCGGCATATTGTAATACAAGATAATATTTGCCTTCATTATCATCTAAGACATGAAAGATATGATTAACGATGGTTTTGCTCCGGCCTTATTATTAAAAGGAACAAAAATCGACAAAGAAAACAAAAATTCTTCATAACTTCGTCTCATGATTGACTCTCAATTGCCACATACCATGGGTAATTCCATAGAGTTTAACGACATAGTCGCAGTAATCAACGTCTCTAATTAATTTGAGCTAAAGAGAAAAAAGAAATTTATATTACACCTTTTATAACTCGAATTCAAATTCATGCTAAAAAACATACTCTTTATCGGAAACTCATTGCACACATTGACTCAAGCTCCAGCCCAACCCAGGCCAGCCCTTACCTCATTGACAAACTCATTGATTGCAACTTCCTCGTTATGAGCAGCATGACAACACTTCAATGCTACTTCTTTGCCAGCTTGTTTCCAATAAGCTTTATATATGGTGGCGAACCCTCCTCTACAAAGCAGGCTAGTGTTCTCAAATTGGCTAAAGGAAATTTTGCGTATATATCCCCTTTTGATACCGATATCCAGCCATTCGCGTTTAGACGAAGTCGGTAAACTGAGAGATTCTGTAATCGAGTGTGGTGAAGCTCCGCGCGACGTCATTGTAACATTTTTCGCTAGCGGTTAAAATTAGTTAAAAAGGATTATGGGTGGGGGAAACGGGCAACAAAGTTATTTTTAAGCGCAGGTCAGGTGGTTCCATCATAATGTACCACAGAAAGCATTCATGTGACTATTATTGTTGTAAAATAATATTTGCGGAAATAATCAAAGACGCGAATAGAACTTGTTTGGCAATTCATATAAATGACTGCCAACGCACGAAATAGAATTGCCATTTAACCCCTATAACATGAGGGACAGGTCATCCACAATTATGCGCAAAGCACGCAATCGCCACGTTCTAACAATGAATCATGCATTTACTTGTCGTTATCGAATTTGTTGTTCTAACAAAAACAGTGTCGATTTAATTTTAGATTGCATCTATATCAACCAATTACAGTGGTAACACGTTCAATGTCTCTATTTTGTTATCGTATTAATATGTCATTATTGACCATTAATCATGTGTTCTGCTAATCTACTTAATTCCTTGCTCTACGTCCTTTTTTATTTCTAGATCTCACCCGCCGTTTTGGTTCACTTTGAGAACTCTGCTCATCATCACTCGAAAACGACTCTCCCCCCTCGTTAGTGCTATCATTTTCCTTACTGTCTTCCATCTCCTTTTCGTTCTTCCGAAAAACTTTACCAAAGATAATCGTGAATAGCCATTTGAATATTGCGAATACAAAGACGTCAAATATTCTCGGTTTAGAGACGTCATTCTCATCCAACTTGACTCGTCCATCTTCATTCGAAAGCGCAACATAATCCGGGTATACATAAAACTGAACATCATTTACTGTCACTCTTTTCGTCGTCATTTGTTTCTTCATGGTCTTGCCCCATGCAATCTCTCTTGCTCTATGGATGTAATATCGAATGCGTTTCTTATCCTGTACGAAAGTGATCCAGAATACTATGTATTGGACTGTGGAAACTAAGACAACGAGAAAAGCCAACACTGTTAACAATCCTGGTTGATATCGACTGTAATAATAACCGGTTCCGCGCCATCGAGGAACACCATTTTTCAAGAACCAATCGTATCGTTCTTTCGACTCTGGATTACGAAGAATGCCTGCAATTAAACCAAGTCGAGCAAACTTTTCATTGCTTCTAGCATCAGGATTCTTGTCTGGACTGTATATACATTGCGGATGTTAATCGATACAAGTGTGATGCATGGATACATGTTAGTCGATTATCCGAACATAGCCGACTGTGAGGCAACAAATATATTTGTTAATTGGAACATACTGTAGCTGCAAATATAGTTTCCGGTAAGCTTTACTGATTTCTTTTTCGGTTGCTGTTGGCTCTAGTCCAAGCCATGAGTAAAAGGTCGTTTCTTCCCCCTCTTCTGTTTCTAGTTCATCAACAAGATCAAATATTTCGTAATCCTCTATAGGAACAATATATTGTTAGGTTAAAATTACCCGGATCAATCTTACTTATATACGAGGTTCCTAACTCAATACAACCTTTTGTCCATGCTATAGCTTTGGGCAGTATAAGTAGACCAAGTAGCAACCAGGTTATAATATGCCACTTCATTGTCGGGTGAAAAGAGACTTTTTGATAGTCGTCTATTTTTTATGTCTATCGTTATTAATACTGTGCATGCTGTTGCCAACAAGGCTACAAAAATATTTCACTTATATGCAAGACCTTATTATTATTAGTCTAACACTGCTGTCTCGAAAATAATTCACGGATTGGGCGCCACAATTCCATATTAATATTTTTGTTCAATGGAAGTAACACAAACAATATTTGACAAATAATTTTTGTTGTACAAAGAATGCCCGAGACTTTGATGAGTCTTTCGGCTTCATACTTGTCCGGACTGTAGGTACATTATTTATAGCACGTATGCTATCGATACAAGTGTACAAGAATACAGTGTACGTTTGTAGCTCGTCAGCGCGAAATTAAATATTTCATAATCGTATATTGTTAGACTACAGTCATTCTCTACCAATAGCATTATCTTAACTTTTGTCCATGATAACTAAACGCTTTGATTGTCGTGTCCATGGAATACTAAATTATTCATTATGGTGTTAAACTAATAAAAGTAATCATTTTTAGTAATATAATACAATAGTTCAGGGGCCATTACATCTTTCTGTATACCCAATAACAACATTTGATATAATAAAAGCTTCTATATCTAAGGTGAATAGTTAATATAGCAATTTGTTTTTATTTTGTATAACGCGGATGGATTGAATCGATCAACTATAGCTAAAAATAGTCAATTATAATCAATCAATTGGCATAATTATGTTACATAACTAAGGCTCCATCAAGCAATGCCCGGAGAAAAGTCTGAAGTCCATACCCATCAAATACTTTATTTCCACCCAAATTCCTCCTAACATATCCGCAACGACTGCATGTTTTACTTGTATATGCTTCAGATACGGATGTTATTACGATTTTACCAAATTCTTCCGCTTTAGATAACATTCGATTCCTAAACCTAGCATGCGCCCAGCATCATCTGTCGAACTGTTTTACTATTAATTTTTCTTCTTCGTCTATGAGACATCTGTATGCTATTAAAATTTGGTAACACGATTATGTCAAAAGGCTTACTTAGTCAATCACAATGCAGTTTTTTTATGTACTTCATCCACTAAATTTTGAATATGTCTTCTCATGCGTGCTTGAGCGCGCTTACTCGAGTTACGCTTTTTTGCTAATGCTCTAAAATGAAGAACATGATGTTGATGTTGAACGGCGTTAGTAATTTAAAGGAGAAAATGATCAAAAGTCAATTTAAACAAAACGCTTGTAATAGGCCCTCTTCACTCTTAATATCTCAACCATAATGACTTTCAGACAAGTCAAAGTGACCGCCCCCTGTCTTCAAAGGAATAGGAAGATATTTAAGCCGTTCCAGAGCAAACGCCGATTTTGGCTGATGATCACAAGCGTCAACATTATTTCGTAGTAGAATTTGCGCCGCGTAATGTGATTACTTCTCTAATCCCGGTTTTTTGGTCCCACATTAAGTACACGGCCAAATGGCTTTTTAACCATACAACTCATTGTTATTTACATAGCATATATGGACAATAGTCATAGATATTTGAAATAACCACATTTTGTTAGGGTGGTCCGAATTCAACAATGGATCCGCTTTTATTAAAACTATTACTGAGGTTTTTCGTCTTAATATTGGTTTAGTTATTTGTATTTGGATCTCATATTACCAAAAAGGCAATAAGTATATTGGACCAAGAAAGGCGCCACGGAGAGAAAAAAAATATAATAACTGAGCATTGGTTACTCTTATCCGCATGGATCATGGGAATACTGTATATATCATTCCTTACAATTTATTTTATTACAGATGTACCTTGCAATTTGTAAACTAATGATTATGTGAATTCTTAGCTATTTTATTTGAGCAAGGTAGAATCTAAGCTAGCTCATGTTGCAAACAGCACACACATTTTCCTGGCACAATAAATTTAAATCAAAGACTATTAATATACGTTACGTATACTTAGTTCTTCATGTGAACACGTGATGTTATTCTAACACCCTTCGATCAACACCTCGCATTATTTCGATCATACATTTTTGGCTTCCGTCATCTATCACTCTAACTCGTTCATATTCTACTTGCCTTAATGCACCGCATTCAAGGCAACAGTGAATCTAAGGTAGATGATAGTGATTCAAACATAAATTCGGAAGGAAAAGAAGACCAACCGGCGATGGTTCATAAGATCCAAGTTGAAGCGGATGATGACAATAATCCGTTTCTTGGTTCAAGGGGACCATCGAGATATAGAGCGCTCAGCAGAGCATTCGAAGCCCGAATGAATATGGCACACGTGTCGTGAGTTAACTATTCATGACCTTGAATATTCATTGATCGATTATGGTTAATAACAATTCTATTTTTAGACGAGGTGTCCGTTGGCCAATACCACCAGACTATTACGATGAAGAAGAAAGGTTGTTAACCAATATTGTAATATTGATTGATAATAGATAATGTAACTCAATAAGAAATCTTTATTGATGAAATCTAGTCACGGATGGAATCCGATCAAGCCTAGGAGTATATTAAGTGATCTGCGTGACGTTCACAAAGAAATAAAAGAAAAGCCAAAAAACGAATCATCGCAATCTGAACAATGTGATCAAGAAGGCTCGGAGGCGATAATAAACCCCAAAGATCTAGAATCAGGAAAACGTTCAAAATCCAGTGGCACTGAGCAACTTTTGGATGAGGGTAATAACCCCTTTCTAGAAGATGAGAACGACGATCCCAGCTACGACTACGAAAACGATGCTATGCTTGCGGCCGCTCAACATGCGCTTGGATTGAGTGCAAAACAGGACATGGCTACTCTCAGGTGGTGCCTCGGATGGCGACCGGAAATAATCTTGACCATGTCGTTGAGCTAACCGGTATGATCTATACTTTTATAGCCTTGGAGTCAGAATGCCGATACCTCCAGATTATTATGACGGGGACTATGACGATGATGAAGACGAGGAGGAGGAGGAGGAGGAGGAAGAAGAAGAAGAAGAATGGTAGATTTTTCAAAGATGGGAATTAACGGGTACGATAAGAGTAGAACTAATATTTTATAAATACTTGATTCAGGGACAAGTCAATACAACCGAGGAATCTATTACAAGTGCTACTGAATGAACGAAGAAACCAATCGAAAGCAGTGAGCATACCAGAAGGAGAGATAGAGACATCTCCATCAAGCACACAAGATGTGGCTTCCAATAACTCTCATGCAGAATCGAACGCCCAGACAGTGTGTTATATCAATGACCAGAATAAACAAGTTGTTGATATACAGGAAAATACGCAGAGAGCTGATAAGACGCCACCATTAAGCCAAGACATGACTTATTCCACAAGTGATCCATTTACTACACCACAGCAGAATATAATTGATAACTATTATCTACCATTATACGAGACAGAATCGACCAAAGAAGTGACAAAATCTATTAAAGGAAGCAGTGGGTATATATGAAAATAGATTATACTCGGCGAGAAAATCTGTAATCAAGTATGTCCGTCTAAATCGTTGTTTTCGTACAAGCAGGAGTCCTAGGCAACCCGACGAATGTGATAATAGCGGAGATGCTGATAACGTTTCGAACGTTAGCAAGATTAGCGAAAGCAAGGATCCGCATTTGTTCTATGATGAGTTAACTAACAGAAAAGTGGAAGATTTCGTTGATATCAACGAAGAGACTATCACTGACGAGATGTCGGAATACACTCTCTCAACTGACAACACGTTTGTATCAATTCATGTACTCTTCGCTTTTATTGACACAGTAAAATATATTTCTCCATTAAGAGTATGACTAGATTTGCGACTGTGTTGAAAATGTGGTTCTATAATATTTTTATGTATATTTAACTCTTGTCACATAGCAGGTCGGAAGAAGAGAATGCGAGATCATCCAATCTGTCAACACTGGAGAGAGCGTCTTCTTTGGACAATACAATACGAGATCAGAACAAAGTGATGACCCCTAAAACAGATAAAGACGAGATGCCGTCCGAAGTATCAAGGTCATTAAAACACGCAACAACACACGAGGAGTCAGGGTATGAAAGTCAACTGATGTTTTGGTGTCGATACACAACAATTTTTGACGGTTACTTGCATCCTTGCACAGCGGTAAAAGGAAAAGACGACGTTCGGAAGGAGCGATAACGGATACTGAGGGTTTTCTGTCCGTAAGTCTCTTATAGATACCATTTATGTACAGGATGGATATACTGGTTGTTAACTTTGATACTGGTTCATTTTTCACAGGCGAGAGAATTCAAGCATATAACCGATTATGGGAAAACCCGTAAATTGCGTGACCGTACAAGAACGAAGAAGGAAGGAAATTGAACCGTAAATAATATTTTTGTAGATATTCTATCATTTTGTATATTCTCATTTGTACTGAATATATATTGAATTTTAACAATTTGTGATGACATACATCACTTTATCATATAAATAAAAGTTTGGTTTAGACGATTAGTTAGTTCGGATGGCAGAGTAGAAATACACGTACATCGTTGACCAGAGAAATCAATCACATCATTACGTATTAGTTTGGCAAGAGCAATTAAATCAGCAGGAAAAGCCGCGTAGTTTGGTGTCTTTGAATTTGAGGTGGACCAGCAGCCTAAAAAAAAGAATTCCATTTAACAATAATTATGTGACCGAATTACGCATAGAGGTAGGGAAAAAACTCTCCTCGAAGTGAATTTAACTCCCAACGTCAACTCCCTCATGAAATTCTTCCTGGACCAACATGCTTTTAATCCAATAGTCACATGCACGCCATATGTTTTGCTTTAAAACTGTCCTTTGAGAGCTAATTCAATTGTGACAAAAGAAGCCGTAATTTTCGTTTCAATTGCCGCGTAAATGGATACTATCAGCGGGGCCACGTATATTAAATTAATGAATAACATATACAAGTGAAACGACAATTACGTTCGACAGTCAAAGCTGATAACTTCACCTAAATTAATATTTATGTTGCTATAAAAAATATATTGGTTTATAATTGTATAATTTGAGGCGTAATTTCCCTGCAAAGGTCATAACATTGTCTAACTTTAACCACTTTCGCGTTGAGGGGAGTAAATTCCCATTTATGGAGAGATTTACGAATAATATTTTGTGATTTCCACAAAACACTCGTAATAGTAATAGTAACAAACAAAGCGGTTTATGTGTAGCATCACACAAAGCCTCCATAAAGGGCAGTAGACTGTTTTGGGCAAATTATCCAACTTGGTCTTACCATATTCGCTCCAATATCAGGCAATATTAATAATATACAGTTACTCCCTCTTCTTTGGGTGTCAATACATGGGTCTTTAGTGATAATATTTCTAATAGAACCACTTGATGCTCGAACTCATAACACCCTTCTGTTTACACCGTGCATTAATTTACTTTAAAAATGTCTGATTTATACAAAAGTTAAATGCAGTGATATGCAGCAAGATTAAGAATAATGAAATTATACAAAAAGTCTATACAAGCCATCTACCAAATTGGTTGCTATATAATACTAAATACTTCTAAGTGAAATAAATGTGTTCCCAACATGTGACAATATTAACCTCCTAAAGCTGACCCACATCACTAAAGAAATATAAATATACATCCTTGCCTTTCTGCCCATCAAAACGCCAGACTTGTGGCACTTATCAGAATATCCAAGATTTCTCTCTTTTCACTGCGAGTAAGCCATAAGAGTGGAGGTAAGATGTCATGAGTACGATGATATCTATCCCGCACATATGGTGCAAGAGTACGAGCTGCAAACGTGCGCTCGGTTGGAAAAGAGAGAAGAGCAAGTATGCGACCTTTATGAAAAATTATATAGAGTTAGCATGCGTGTATTGAGATGGAACTGACCAAAAAAACGCGATCAAGTATAGCACCATTTCTTTTATTTTTCGTATTCGTACGTACCTAGTTGATCGCAGGTTATCACATAATTAGGTACTAAGTTCTCTACAATAGCTACAAATAATGGAAAAATTTAAGTACATTACCAAACAACAAACTGATTCGAGTTGCTCAAATTTTACCTTTCCTCTCCAGTGAAGACCCGGCTTCCTGAAGACTAGCCACTAGTTGTATAAACTTATCACGTGAGAGTGATGGTTTTGGTGGTGGTGCTAAACGAGGTTTGAAAACAGATTTACAAGGCCTTAGTCAACGGCCTATACATTCGTTACAAAATATGTGCTAGCATAATATTATTGCTACACCGTGCCTACATGTAAGCACTTGATGCATCTATACATATTTTTTGACTGCTTCCACTTTCCGTTTTCTAATCCATAGATTCTCTCAACCAATATACCATCACCATTTCTCACCTAATATCTTTGCCAGTATTCCATCAGCCTTGCCGTTTATTCGGCATCGCTCTGATAATTTACTTGATATCGACTCCCTATCCTGCGACAGCGAATGTATTGAGGTTGGCTTGCACCGTGACGTGAATGACGGAGCAGTGCGTAAGGATATCGTGCGGGATGAGAGTGAGAGTTCTTCTTTTGTTTCCTGTTGTTGCATTTCTTTAAAAGTGAATGATTTGTACAGAAATATACGGGTGTAAGAAAGGAGAAAAACCAACGGCTTTATGAAAGGGTACAGACTATCTCTGAAATTACCATTGATCTTCTTCCATAACTGATCTTGCCTCCTAAACAGTTCGTCGATTTTATCCTCCTTGCCTTTTGCGTCATCCGCATTTGGTTTATCGTTCGGCATTACGCTCTCTTCCTTTTTTGTTTCAAGCTTGTCGTCCCCATCATCTCTTGTACTTTCACTCTTACTCACTTCCCCGTCTCTTTCACCAAAATATTGATTCTCTTTTTTTTCTTTTTCCTCAGGAGAAGTAACCACAAACAATACAGGCTTGTTACCCTGTCCACGTAGATCGATCACGGGCTCGGTCGCTGTTATGACACGTCCCTGTACGGCAGAGGTCATGACAACGGTGGTAGAAGCAGCTATTAATATATGCTATGTCGTTCCCTGATAGGAAGTGGTGTATTAACAAGGTATGTGTAGAAGAGGGAGAGTATTGGGTAAAGGTGTTTGATTTGTAAACCGCAGATGAAGGTCTGCGCAGAGGTTAAATAGTAATAGATAGTAATAATACTTATGATTGTACTTGTGGATTTGAGTAATAATAATAATAATGAAGAAATGTTTGATAATCAAATGAGGGAACAGTAATGTTGACGTCATTAATGGATCAAGTTTGAAGATTTTAGTTTCCCTCTTTTTGCATATCGAGTAAACGGACTACACGTCTGGATAGTGCTTCTTAACTACGTTTTCTCTTAAGCGGGTTTTAGAATACTGATGGTCAATAAGACGACATTGGAAAGCATTCAATGTTTTCTCAATTCGGACCATCGAACCAATCAGCTTACTTAATGTAACACGGAATATTCGAATAATAATAATAACAACAATGGAACTAATACTAATGAGAATAAAATATTGTACTCCTAATAAATATTGCGTAATACTTTTCCGAACATACTTTTGAATATAATCTGATTGAGGACTTTATAATGCATTTTACCACTTTTCAATGCTTGCTTTTCCCTCGTGGTATAATTTAGGTGGATCCATGGTAATTGAAATACTGTTTATTCTTAATTAAGAAATGTCATACGAATTATCGTGTAGATCGAATAGACAAAAGAATTTATACAAAAAATGGTGCCATGCTTTATTATTTTAAGTCAAATTTATATATCAAATATGCTTTTCATTAACACCAGCCAATTTAACCCACTTTGTCAGTCCCTATAATCATAATACCAATCGATTAATACCTGCATAAGTAGTTATGTTAATGTGGGGCATGCTGCAACAAAACCAGACAAAGTGAACATTTATTATGTGACATAAATGAGAGGCTGGTGTGGCTGAAGGTTAACAGTATTAGTATGTCATTCTCTGAAAGAAAGAAACTTATTATTATATCTATTTTATGTATAATGGCAAATAAGGCATTTTGATAGAACATCTGTTGGCTTTATACTAGTGCTCCGCTATTAGGTTAAGAGGTATCCGAAAGTGATTCGTAAACTAGGTGCACTACTCACAACTTTGTGTCGATCGGTAGACACTAATATTCGCCCTCGAGTTAACCTTTCGGTGGGGATTAAGGAGGAAGCCTACAGGTTGGGGGTATACTCGTATCTACTTAAACGTAATAATCGTAATGCCACGAGAATATTCACGGGACAAAAGACGGATATTCTATAGATGTACGTAGAGATTGGTTCACAACTACACCAATAATCACCAGGAAACGAATCATTATTAATGTATTTTCAGAATATAAAAAAACTTCTCGTTTATTAGAAAGAATTACCGACTACTAAAAGTTGGGATAGTTTTTTTTCCAGAAAAGGAGCCATATAAAGTAAAAAATTGCACCTCACATCTTAACCAACAGAATACTAAATCTTTGCAAACTAAAAAATTTCCTAAAAATTTCGAGGAAAATAAGTATTAGTATAATAATAATAAAGCTTCTTTTTTTATAAAAAAATAAAATAAAATTAAATTAAATTATATATATATTTATATTTATATTTATATTTATATTTAGACGGCAAATTAAAGTAATCACTCTCGTTCCTGCATTCGTAAATGCTTTAAAATGGTTTCAAACCTCGGAAACCTGATGTGGCTTCCTCACCTTTGTCTATCGGTTTTGCAAGGTTGTTGCTTATTATTGGCCAATTCATAAATTCAGTGTATTAGTATAATAATTTATTCCAGAAGCGTTTTAATAAAAATATTTATTCTCAATAAACCGGACGGACAAAGGAGTTCATCCACAACAAGAATTTATCTTGCGATTACCTTTTTACAGAAAATGACTCTACAAAGAACACTGTTATTCATAACAGAGACAAACAATACGAAGCCTAATATTAAATTCCACCAAACTGTGTTATCATTATGAAGGTCATGTATACTATTAGTTAGCCAAATTGGTCATGGCTTTTTGGCATTATATTATTAAGATATAATTTATTATTTATATTTACTGGTAAAAATATAACCATGGGTTATTCAATTAAACTTTTGCCTGGACTTGGTTGTCATCATCGCGTAGTTGTGATATTTTGACCAATTAATATTTTAGTATTTGTTGAGGCGTTCTGTAAATCTTGAATTTATTCCACTGTCAATTAAATAACCTGTAAGTCCTATTATATTTATATAAGTATTTTATTGGCGTAATAAGTTTTTCCAGAATTCTGGTGCTTATTCATTATTGAACCACCATCCACAACTTTTAATTGGGACAGACTGCAACAAAACCAGACAAAGTG